AACAAAATCAGTGGAGATGACTAAGTTATTATAACAGCATTCTCTCTCAATCTCTGAGCAGCATTTCTGCTCTCACCTCTCTCTTCCTCCCTCCCTCCCCTTTCCTCTTTAGAGGAAATGAGAACAAAGTCAGGCAGGAGCCCTAAAGAGAATAATTTTTATTAACTCGCTAATTGCCAGATTCTCATCTCATAGAAACTGGGGGTCCACAGTTACTGAAAACAGAGTTTTGAATTGGAAGGTGGATTTCACAGGGGTACATGTGTACCATGCTGTCCTTGAACGCAATGACCTGTGGAAACAGACACTCTGCTCTACTAAGAGCCTTGCCTTGTATGGGTGTGTAGCCGAAATTCTAAACAGTCTTAGTAAATCAGAAACACAGAGCCAACTACAGAGGAAATAGCCAAAGAGATCAGAGCAATAGCCATGACTAGCTTTAGCTTACCACCAGCAGTAGCTTCCACAGAGAGAACTTCTTCCTGCCTGACCTGTGTTTTTATTGCCTTTCTGTTCTGCCTTCTCATTGGCTCTAAGCCCAGCCACATGACTTCTTCATCACTGTCTGTCTATACAGACCTCCAGGTCTCTATGGTTGGTACTGGGATTAAAGGCTCGTGTCACCAAGCTTGGCTGTGCCTTGACCACACAGCGACTCTGCCTGCCATGTGATCGGATTAAGGGTGTGTGCTACCACCACTGGATTTCTGTTTAATGGCTATTTGACCTCTGATCTCCAGGCAACTTTATTTATTAACATACAAATAGAATATCACATTTCATCATAAATAAAATATTACCACATGGGTGCTCTAGTTACAAACTTCTAGTGAAGCCTCCTTGTATCATCTTTTAATAAAATACACCACAGGCTGTGTATAAAGTTCAGCTGAATGCACATATTCTCATGTAAAGGATGGACTCCACAGAGGCTTCCAACTGGCCCCATTGCTGAGGCCAAGGGGCAGCCAGGTCTGACCCCCAGACACAGCACTTTGTTTGTTTGTTTGTTTGTTTGTTTCTTTGTTTGACTTAGCTGGTCCTTTGGAGACACTTCTCTGACTCTGTAACTAGTCCAACCCTTTTATTTTATTGTCAAAGAAACCAAGACAAATCTTATGCTGCTCACCATCATGAGGGCTACAGGCAAGATGGCAATGCTGTGGCAGGCAAGGCCATTTGAGTGCTGTATGGGATGGTCTCTGGTACCCAGTGCAGGTCTGGATACTAGGCTAGATGGGTCTTTGTAATCATATTGTCAATATACCATACACATGCATACATAGCCTGAGTTCATCTACTCTACAGACTAGAAAATACTTTCTAGAATAAGACGAGCTCATTTGATGCTAATTATCATAAAAGTTAAGATCATGATAGTGCTTAGCAAGAGAGCTTTATTTTTATTTTATTAATTAATTAATTTATTATGAATTAAGCACTTTCTGTGTGCCAAGCATCAGGCCGAGTATTAATGCACAATCTTATGTCTTCCTTCACACAATCAGCCCAATGTCAGAACCTCCCTCGTACTTAATCCTCGTGCCCTGTAAGAAGCTGGCACAAATAAAAAGCTTCAATCTGTCTGTATGCTCTATCTGTGTGCTCATCAACTGTGCCCAAATTAAATCCTTTCTGAATCCTTAATGATGTGTGTGTGTGTGTGTGTGTGTGTGTGTGTGTGTGTGTGTGTGTGTGTTTTAAAGTAGGTAATTAAGAGAAAAGTACTTCCAGAAATAAAACACAGGAGGTGGAGGCTGAATTCTTGATTCCCTGAAATCTGGAGCTAGCCCATTTGATAGTGACTTATAATTACTATATTTCAAATTGCTCAATCATCTCCTGAAGATAGATTGCAGGGTGGGGTGGGAGGTGCCTTTCAGTTCTTTCCAGTGAAATGTTTCTGTGTTAGCACAAGACAAGCAGTTCTGTCAGGTAAGGGATTCAGACAGAACTGCAGGGCTTCCTGTGGCCCTGCGCCAGGGGGAGGAAATAAACAGATGTGGTTCCCATTGGATACGGGTGCCTAAGAGAAGTGTTTCCTGTCATACCGCCAAGACAGTGCCAGCTTCTCACAGCACTGACTCAGGGGAGAGCAAAGAGGAAGACAGAGTGGTATTTGGAGAGGGATTAAAAAAAAACATAAGAAAATGCCAGTTTTTCCATTTTACTGAGAGGTCATAAACTTCTACAACCAAGAGTTGAGTGGCAGCTCTGATGTGTGTGTATACCTGCCTGTGGAAGCCAGAGGTTGATATTAGGCATCTTCCTTAATCACTCTCCACATCATCATCATCATCATCATCATCGACTAAGTCTTATTGTGTATCCCTGGTTAATTATTATTATTATTGACTAAGTCTTATTGTGTAGCCCTGGTTTATTATTATTATTATTATTATTATTATTATTATTATTATTGACTAAGTCTTTATTGTGTAGCCCTGGTTGGCCTGGAACTTGCCCTGTAGACTAGACTGGCCCTAGACTCAAAGAGATCCGATTGCCTCTGCATTCCAAGAACAAGGGTCTAAAAGGCTCACTCCAACTTTCTTTTTTGAGTCAGGGTCTCTCACTAAACCTGAAGCCTACTGATTTTGCTAGGCTGGTTGACCAAGGAACTCTGGAGACCTGCCCATCACCACCTCCTCAGGGCTCAGATTACTAGGTCCAGCTTTTTTTTTTTTAATAAATAAAAAAAGATTTATTTTGTTTGTATATTTTGCCTGAATGTATGTATGCACACCATGTGTGTGCCTGGTGTTAACAGAGTTCAGAAGAGGGGATCTTTTGGAACTGGAATTATAGATGATTGTGAGCCGTCATGTGGGTGCTAAGAACTGAACTCCTGGCTGCTGCAAGAGTAACAACTTCTCTTAACTGCTGAACCAGTTCTCCAGTCCCCCACACCCAGCTTTTTCTGGTGATCTGAACTCAGGGCCTCATGCTTGGGTAGCAAACACTTGAGTTTCTGGGTCACATCACTTCTGATCATTAAGTAAAGTCAAGTTCATTTGGCAATGAAATGGGCAGTGGGCACTCTTCTTGGAGGCGACACAGGTAGCTGGGAGCTACAGAGTACCTGAGAGGACAAGTCCTTTGAAGTCTGCAGCCTGACCATTGCAACCAGCAACTGTGAGGTGTCTAGAATCAGGCAAATGGTGTTTCAACCTTATAACTGATTGTCAATGTTTTAAAATGTTGAAGACTTCACAAGTACATCTGATCTCTGGCATCTCTTTTATATGAGAACACATGCCTACTTTTTCATTTATCCATACCCAACAGCCCCCAATACTAAGGACAAGCATCAACCAGTACTCATCCTCAGGCATGCTATTCTGTGACCTAGCAGTCCTGCAGCAATTTGAATGTGTCCCCTGGACTGGGATCATCCTTATAGAGACAAAAAGCAAGGCAGACTCCACAACTCTACCAACATTTAGGCAAAGTCCTGATGCTTGACAGCCAAGTACCCCTGATCTCTGGCCAGTATGCTAAAGAAACCCTGTGGTTCAGCCACACTGTCCTTATAGTTGGTCAAGGCTCTGCTGCCCTTTTCCCAGATGTGCTTCCCTGTCAGCAGACACTTACTTGACCTCTCAGCTCCACATTAGCAAGTTCAGCCCTAAGTCCACATGCCTGCATCTTCATCAGACCCAAGCACCCCCCAGGGGAAGTTCGGTGTTAAAAGCCTTGGTTTGTATGTCACTGGTGCCTAGGCATTTCATGAACTAAATAAATCTGGCATCCAGAAAATAAAGGGTCGGTCCTTTGATATATAGGTATGTTTTTACTCACAATATAGGGGAGAAAATAGCTAAAAGCAAATTGATGAACTAGCAAGGAAGTGGTACTGAAATTTTAACTCAGTTATAAACTCAGTTCACCCCACCCAGGCCAGGCCTTCCTCCACAGGTAGGGACTGCTTAGTCAATGTGGTTTGCAAGGTGTCCAGCCTTAGATATCCTCCCTATCAGCTTATCATAGTTCCTAAAAAAAAAAAAAAAAAAAAAAAAAAAACCAAAAACAAAAACAAAAACAAAAAAACAAAAAACCCTGTAACTTACTTCTATTGAGACTTTGTTAAAATAAAACACCTTCCCCCAATCCCTTGCCATCCTCAAGGCTAATAGAGTCAGCAGCTTCAGTTAGCTTATTAACTATTCTTCTATCTGATGTCTTTTTCCTAGACTGTCTGGCTATGTAGTGATAGGATTACAGGGAACCTTCCAGGAGATAGGACAGACCTGAATGTCTGAGCCAAGGAACCAAGAGCAGGCACTCCAGGCAGGCCTATGGTTAAGTGCAAGAGCGATTTGGACCAAGATGCCCTGGTGCAGCCTGCTACGTGAGTGGCCTGTGGCTAGTCACTGGGCTTCTGGAGTTCTGTTTCTTCATTCAGGTACAAAATGATGTTAGCAAGACCATGCGCATTGGTGGTTAAGGAGCGACCACACTGCAGAACTTGCAAATGGTGTGTGGAATGGAGTAAGCCCCGGGGCACAGCCATTCTCAGGAGGGGCTACCCGGGGGCGGGGCCCTGAAAGGATTGTAGGGGTCTTACTCTTTCAGGCCTCCTTTGCTGGTGTGCAGCTAAAGCAAGAAAAAAGGCAGGCGGTGGCGCTCACCTTTAATCCCAGCATTCAGGGCAGGGGCAGAGGCAGGCGGATCTCTGTGAGTTTGAAGCCAGAGTTCCAGGACAGCCAGAGCTACACAGAGAAACCCTGTCTTGAAGTGGGGGTGGAGGAGCAGAAAGAAAGAAGGAAGGAAGGAAAGAAGGAAGGGAATGGAAGGAGAGAGAGAGCAGGCAGGCGGAAAATTGTAGGGCACTCAGAAACAGTGAGCTCCAGCTTGTGTCCCCTTTGAAGTCCAGACCCTTCTGGATTTCACCCCCACCCCCAGACAACCCCCGGTCACCCCACCCCTCTGGTTTCTTCCTGTCTCAGCAAAGGCCACCTTCCTACACAAAGTCCCCAGCCCCCAGTTCCTGGGCGTACCCTCGATGTCTGGCACGGAGAGGCCACTTGCTGCCCCGTAGGGAGAACGAGTCAACAGCGGGGTGGACGGGAAAAGTGACATAATCCTTGCAGCTCCCTGTGCCACCAGCCTCTCCCACAGCGCAGGCCTGGTTTCTGCTCTCCCGCGCAGGGGGCCGGGGATTGAGGTGCTGCGGACTCCGGGCTCCGCCAGCCTTGGGGTCCCTTGCGACGGGGGGAACCCGGGCGTGGGCGGCCGGGATGCACTTTTCAGGAACGCCGCGGCGGCTGCGCGGTCGCCGGGCAAGCTCCCAGGACCGCCGCCCCCTCGGAGCCGGATGACGGAGTCTCGAAAGACTTTCACCAAATATGGGCCGAGGCTGGAAACGTCCTGTGCTGCGCGTCGCCGGAAACCTCGAGTCGCGGCCACCGCGGGAGTGCGGATCTCGGGCCAGCGGCCCACAGGGGGCGGCGGCGGCAGGGCCCATCCCGGTGGCCAAGGCCCGGTGCCCTCGTGCCCTCCCGACCCGCATGTCTGTCACCATAATCTCAGCCACCCCCGCCCATGCCAAGTTATGAGGGTGGGGGAGGGAAGAGAGGTGCAAAAAATGTAGGGTGACCTTAAAGGGTGCCACCTTAAAGCTTCTTGAAGACATTGTAAACGGGGCTAAAAAAGTGAGGTCGTGAGCAACCCTTTATCTGATTATGGACACACACAAGCGAAAGTGGGGAAATGGGGGCGGAAAAAAGGTATTAGGGTGAGGGAAGAGACTGAGATAGAAAAAGAAAGGGAGGGAGGGAGGGAAGGGGAGGGAGGAAAGAGGAGACAGAGGGAGGAAAAGGAGGAGGGGGCACTCCTGTGATCCAGGGTAGTGGGACCAGCAGCATCACCTAGAGCCTTGTTAAAATGCAGCCGAGGACAAACTCTGGAGTGGGGCCTAGCAATCAGACTTAACCAACCCTCGGCGTGATGCTGGTCTGAGACCCACTAAACTAGGAAGCTGGAGTGGACAGGTTTGGGATTATGATCAGTCTCAATTGCTGCCAGACAGTGAAACCTTCTTGGGGTAATCTAAACTTCCCTGGCAGTCACAAGCGAGACTCTCCACCTCTCAGCCAGAGCCAGGAGCCGCAGAGGACAAGCAGTCCTTTCTCAGTGGCTTGCGGCTCAAAGAAACACGTCGGCTGGTGGAGGGACGGTAGGGGATAGAGCCATGCAAATGAGCACACCCGAAGCAACACTTACCCACACCATTTGCACATTTCCCTCCGTGTCTGTCAACGAAAGATCTGTAGCTCTCAGCAGAGGAGGTGAGAAGGCGACAGGACGTCTGGGGTTTCTGGACCAGTCTGGGGTTTCTGCACCATCCTAGGCAAGGACTTAAGAAGCCACCGTTCCTCTTGGTTACCAGCAGGCGAAGCAGGGCATGCTGTCTGCAAAGGCTGTGCTCATAGGTTACAGCAGCCTTTCCTCCTCTGGCACCTCCTGGCCTCTTGGACTCCAGCTTCCCACCTCTTCCCACCACACACTCGCGGCTTTAAATGGGCAGTTGATGGTAATGTCCTGGTTCTCCTCTGGGACAACCCCGTTCTTTGAGATTGCCTGGTTGGAGACCAGAAACAAAACCCCACACATCCTTGTTAGAAAACTTTAATCTGATTTTTAAAGGCATCTATGGAATGGCGTGTCTGTTTGGACGCTGTGCTGTACACTGGACCTCTAGGCTGCTCCTCCTCCCCCAGCAAAGGAACACAGTATATTCGGGCCAGTTGGATCACCCACTGTAACTTTATTTTAAATCATGATAGACAGATTGCGTGAAAAACAAGGAATTCCAAAGAATTTCCTGCTCTGGGAACAGAAGTTAAGTCTATATTTAACAACATTTGAAGCTGTCAAGAATGCCTTGTGGTTGGATAACAGAGGCAGAAAAATGTTAAAAACGCAAGCTACTGCTATACCCAAATATGGAAATATTGTTACGTCTGGTGTCTGATTCACCATCTGGAAATACTTACAACCATGAAGTCAAATAGAAAAGACGCCACACCAGAAGCCAGGAACTCTCGTCTCCATTCGCTTTCTCCATCACCTCCTTCCACCCTCTTCTGTGCCTTCTCCACCCTCCACCCCTCCCCTCCCGGCCACTTCCCTAAGATGGAAACAATGAACCATTAAGGCAGGAGGAACTGTTCTCTAGCAGACGAAATAGGCTGGCCTAGGGGACAGGGCCCGGCTTTGCTTTCTTCATTTGCATAACACCTGACAACCCTTTGTCTTTGAAAGTCCCCACACCCAGAAAGCCTTAGAGGTCCTACTGCCCCTAGCAAATACTTTTGAATGAATGAACTTAGCTCTTTCCTGTAACAGCTGTCTTCACCCAATAGCTTCTCATTGTGCTCACTGGAGTCATTCATAGAAAAGTCCGCACTGACAGCGCTCTTAAGCAACACTGCTAGGTTTTGAAGGCAGACAGGCCTTATATATTGAAAATGAAGAGAAGCTATCCCAGAGCATTAAGGGGAGTGAGGAATCTAGTATCATTTCTTATTAATATTACATAAGAAGACAGCTTATGAAGCTTTGGAAGTTTATGGATGGCACTAGTAATCCTGGAGAGGGTCTTAATGAGGGGGTCTTCAGGTGTGTCTAATAAGATCTTAAAATCTGATTTAATTTATTACAGAATGTTGTCCTCTAAATCCCTCATTTCTTTGAACTGAGAGAGAGAAAGAGAGCCATTGCACTTCACTTTTTGAAAAGGAAGCCTTCCAAGTGATCCAAAGCAAAGGAGTTACACACACACACACACACACACACACACACACACACACTCGAACACATACACATGCACACAGAGACACATGTGAACACACACACACACACACACACACGCACGCACGCACACACGCACACACACGCGCGCACACACACACGTCTTTTTCCAGCTATCCAAAGGGCACAATGGTCCTTTTGGACTCTGTTTTGTCCTGGCAGCTTTTGCACCTGATGATTTCGGGACAAATCACTCCACGGTCGTCTCCTCCGCTTCTGGTTTGGCTGCTCAGTTTCCACCGCCACCAGTCGGGGAGAGAGGCCAGGAGGGCTTACCCGGCCTCCCGCATCCGTGAGGAAGTGCAAGTCAAGCAAGCTCCGGGAGAACTCCCTGCACTCGTTTCCTCTTGGATTTCCATCGCAGGCAGTGGGCTGGAACTAAAAATGGGAACCTCCAAAAACAAACAAGTACAACATACCAAAAAAAGAGGGGGAGGGATGAGGGAAGACCTCTGGCTGGAAATTTGCCAGGCGAAGAGGGAAGCTCCCCCCACCCTCTCATTCATAAATGCCACTCTGAGTATTAATTTGCAATACACTTCTCTTGGCTAATAAACATCATGCCACAGCTTTGGGACTTGATCCGAGCATGCCTCTTTGAAGTCCACAAATAGATTCCTGGCTCAGAGACCCAGCTCCCCCTCCCCTTTGGACTCAGAGTAGATAACTTGACTCTCACCTTGGTTGTAAACAAGCAAACAGCTCCCTGCGTTCCCGGGTGAGGGCTTCGGCAGATGCCGGGTCCGGGTCCACTGGGCATCTTCAAACAAAACCACTTTTGTTCCTCCCTCTCAGGTCCTCCCACCCTCCCAATGATCTGAAGTGCTCCCACCAACACACACACCACGCCCCCTCATATACTCTTCGACCAAAATCATCACCCTCGCGCCCCAAGCATCCCACCCTCCCCAATGAATGTCGTTATTTAAAGTGGAAAAAACGAACTTTTTTTTCTTTGATAGATCTGAGAAGGGGGGTAGGGGGGGGAAGGTGCAATGGAGCCAGGGGAGGTGCTTGGCAGCAGCCCGCGCCAACCAACATTCCTGAGATGTTTGAGAATTCTGGAACGCGCAGACAGAGCCGACGTCACTGCAACACGCGGCGCCGAGGCAGGCGGGTATAAAGGGCGGGCTCCCGGCGCCGGGGCAGACCGTGAGCGAGAGCGCCTCAGAGAAGCGCTTGCAACCTCTGTGCCTCCTCCGCCAGAACCTCGAGAGACGGACGCCCGCAGCCTCGGCCCTAGCCTCACCGCGCTCCCGGAGCATCCGATCCCGCTGCTCACCGCCTTGTTGGCTTCTGTGTCGCTGCGCTCGTCCCGGCTCTTTCTGCGCGCCACAATGAGCTCCAGCACCGCCAGGGCGCTCGCTGTCGCCGTCACCCTTCTCCACTTGACTAGGCTGGTGAGTTGGACATGTTTAATCGCCGCTTCCCGGTCCGCCCTCTCCGATCCCTTTCCCTGGGCCCTGATCGTCCACAGAAGCGAAAGTTAAGACTAAACAGTTTGGAGGCAGCTGTTGCTTTAAGCCCCGACGACGTGTCCGGGGGGCCTCTTTCTGGGGCGCAGCCGCCGGGGTGGCCCGGGTGGCTGGACGCGATCTAGACACTCGAGGTGGATGGAGTCCCAGAGCCAGACCCATGCTCAGGGCAGTATAGGCGCCTCTCCCGAGCAATACAAAACAGTCTCACGCGTTTCTTCTCCCCCTTCTAGGCACTCTCCACCTGCCCCGCCGCCTGCCACTGCCCTCTGGAGGCGCCCAAGTGCGCCCCGGGAGTCGGGTTGGTCCGGGACGCCTGTGGCTGCTGTAAGGTCTGCGCCAAGCAACTCAATGAGGACTGCAGCAGAACGCAGCCCTGCGACCACACCAAGGGGCTGGAATGCAATTTCGGCGCCAGCTCCACCGCTCTGAAAGGGATCTGCAGAGGTAAGAGGCTTGTGGTTTGGCCCCTTTAAAAAAAATAATAGTCCCCATAGTCCAGAAGTTTAGTAATTTTGAGACCATGTATGGTGACGCTTTGTTGATGGTAGCTTGGCAGAAAGGCACATGATTTCAGCAGTCTGGAATGCAATTCAGTGTGTCTGGGCCCAACGAAAAGCGCATACGGAAAAGTGATTCCTGACTAACTTATTGTTCAGCTCTGGAGTCTCGGGGGAATTGTAGGGAACTTTACCATACATTGAATTGAACAGCGGAAAATATGTATAAGTTTCAGCCTGTGGCGGCGAATCTTAACCTTCTCCTCTCTCTTTTGGTTGTCTTTACAGCTCAGTCAGAAGGCAGACCCTGTGAATATAACTCTAGAATCTATCAGAATGGCGAAAGCTTCCAGCCCAACTGTAAACATCAGTGCACATGTATTGATGGCGCTGTCGGCTGCATTCCTCTGTGTCCCCAAGAGCTGTCTCTCCCCAATCTGGGCTGTCCCAACCCCCGGCTGGTGAAAGTCAGTGGGCAGTGCTGTGAGGAGTGGGTCTGTGATGAAGACAGCAGCATTAAGGACTCCCTGGACGACCAGGATGACCTCCTTGGATTTGATGCCTCGGAGGTGGAGTTGACAAGGAAGAATGAGTTAATTGCAGTTGGGAAAGGCAGCTCGCTGAAGAGGCTTCCTGGTAAGTGGGAATCGAGCCCTTAAGACCTTGTACTGAAATTCATTCTTGGTCTGCAACTTTGCAGAACCCAGTGTGTGTCAGCATGCCTCTGAGGAGTGTTCCATTTGGGTTATTTTTCTAGTCTTTGGCACCGAACCGCGAGTCCTTTACAACCCTCTGCATGGCCAGAAATGCATCGTTCAGACAACGGCATGGTCCCAGTGCTCCAAGAGCTGCGGAACTGGCATCTCCACACGAGTTACCAATGACAACCCAGAGTGCCGCCTGGTGAAAGAGACCCGGATCTGTGAAGTGCGTCCTTGTGGACAACCCGTGTACAGCAGCCTGAAAGTAAGTTTCTTCAGGGACTTGACCATGACCCCAGCACGTGGGTGGGTGGGATATGAACCTCTCTATTCCAGAAAGAGAAAAGTCCATGATATATTGGAAATAAATTGCCTTTATGAAACCTAATACTATTGGGCTTCATACAGTGGTTAAATGCATCTCTCCCCAAACAACAACAAATCACATTCCTGACTTTCTTTGTTCTTTCTTCCAGAAGGGCAAGAAATGCAGCAAGACCAAGAAGTCCCCAGAACCAGTAAGGTTGAATTATGCAGGATGCTCCAGTGTGAAGAAATACAGGCCCAAATACTGTGGCTCTTGTGTGGACGGCCGCTGCTGCATGCCTCTGCAGACCAGGACCGTGAAGATGCGGTTCCGATGTGAAGATGGGGAGATGTTTTCCAAGAATGTTATGATGATTCAGTCTTGCAAATGTAACTACAACTGCCCACACCCCAACGAGGCATCATTTCGCCTCTACAGCCTGTTCAATGACATCCACAAGTTCAGGGACTAAATGCCTCCTTGGTTCCTAGTGTGGGGTGGATAGAGGAGTGTGAGCATCATGGAGACATGGGTGGGGTGGTGGGGTGAAGGGGCTCATTGTAGAAGGGATGCCTTGCTCATCATTGAGTAGCATTAAGGTATTTCAAAACTGCCAAGGGGGCTGGTGTGGATGGACAATAATGCAGCCGCAGTTGGGGAATACTTCGCTTCATAGTATTGGAGCACGTGTTAATGCTTCATTTTGGAGCGTGTCGTGTGGATGACGTTCTGTTTTCTGTTTGTAAATTATTTGCTAAGTGTATTTTTTTGCTCTAGATCTTTCTCCCCCTCTCGGTTCTACAGTTGTAATAGAGATAAAAAGATGAGTTGTGCCCGTGAAAGCCTTGTTAGTCCTCTGACAGAAGTCAATGAAAGGGCCTCTCATCCCTTCCTGGGGGAGGGGGACACTCTGTGAGTGTCCGAGAGGCAGCTACCTGCACTCTAAATTGCAAACAGAAACCAGGTGTTTTAAGACTGAATGTTTTTTATTTATCAAAATGTAGCTTTTGGGGAGGGAGGGGAAATGTAATACTGGAATAATTTGTAAATGATTTTAATTTTATATCAGTGAAGAGAATTTATTTATGAAATTAATCATTTAATAAAGAAATATTTACCTAATATCTGAGTGTTTGCTGTTCAGTATTTTTAGAAACCATCTAAGTTATCAGGAAAAATTGTTCCTGTCAGTCATTGCAACAGGGTTTTGTTTGGTTTGGTTTGGTTTTTTTTGAGGACCTATGAGTCGAACTACTCTAGGTGTCTTACTTGGATAACCGATAACTCAGGAGAGAAAACTGGACAGTGGTTGTCTTTACACATCTTCAAAGGAAGAATGGTGGTATATAAGACATCAGTTTGGAGAGTGAAGTCTTGAACACAGGGATTGTGCGAAGCATAAAAAAGGAAGCTGAAATTTAATTTGTTAACCTAAAACAATGATTTATTTTCATAAGAACTGAAAGGAAAGCTTAGTTCCCAGCTCCAGGGTGATTCTGGGCGTCATATAAGAAGACATGGGGAAACCTTTTAATAACCTTCGGCCATAACTGCTTGGTTGAAGTGTATTTGAAAAGGTCATTGAGTTTGTAACTTTGTAATTTTTTAATATTATATCTAAAAATTAGGGAAGCTGCTTTAACATTTTACTCTTGGCTGGTATGGGGGTGGGCAGGAATCTTGGGATCTATAGGGTCCCTGGTTAATAGATGAGTTTGAAGCAAAGACTTGTGTTAATCCTAACAAGCCAGCGATTAGGTAAACACGCTACCAAATGCAAAAGAATGTGAGGAATTTCAGTACTTTCCAATCTCTAAAGGACCAGGGCAACCCACCCCCTTCCTTACATTATATTGGTGGCAGAGGGAGCTTTTAGATAGAGTGGGCTATCCAGAGGTCAAAGGCTAGACACTGAGCATTCCAAAAAGAAAGGGCCTGACTGTGAGGCTAGGAGAGGTAGAGACAGCTGCATTAATGTTTGTGAAGAAAAGCCAGTAGCCTGTGTTAGAAAAATCTACATCTTTAGAGAGCGCTGACAATAAACCTTTTATAGAGAGAAGTTTCCTTTCACCATCAGTTCTGGCTCCCATTCAAATCCATAGTGAGATATTTCAGTCTGCACTTGAAGAGAGCACTTGAATTTTTAGACATAAGAAAGTGCTTGGAGGAGTGGGGGAGGGGGACAGCTCTTGGGACTCTATAAGGGAGTTTTCTAAATAGATGAATTAATATTGATGATTTAATAAGGATCTAAAAGAAACACTCCCCGGCATCTGTTTTAGACCTTACCAGATGAATGCTAGGAAAATCTATGGTCACAGGTCTTCCTCTGATTTTGGCAGGATCTTGCCTAAAATACTTCAAATTGTACCTTCTGAACTGTTAGCTTTGCCTGCCCCCCGGCACTGGAGTTTTAAGGTATTTGGGATTTAAACACCACCTGGCCTAGTTGTATCCGCAGTTAAGCTTGTCAGTGTGTGATAATAGTATGTGAAAGACGACAGAAGGATTAGGACTCTGTGGGGCAGTCCTGTTGGACGACATCAGAATCCCTAAGCAAGATTTACTGGTTCCTCGGCATGAATCCTGAGATGCTGCCTCGCATCCAGAGAACCCACAAACGTCTTTGTTGTGCAGAGACCATAGAGTGTGCTGTTGTACGGATCCTTTATAAATGTGTAGGAAGACAGTATTTGTGCAAGGTATCTCAAATGAGAAACAATGTTGATAAGAAAAACAGATGATCTTTGAAAAGTCATTCATCTGGTCCAAGTACTTACGGTGATGACGACAAGATGGGACACGGACCACAAGAATGCTCAATTAGTACAATGATGAATAAAAGCAAATGGTGCCCACTTATTTCAACAGCAAAGTACTACAGAAATATAAATACAGTAATACAGAAAATAGTGAAGAACCTAAGAATAGTTGAGAATCAAATTGCAGTATTCAGACCATATATAAGATCAGCCATGACTGGAGTGGGTCTTGTTCAGTTCAATTATTGTGAAAACAAAAGTCATTGTCTTTACTTACATGGCATGGAAGCTGAATATGTCGGCATGCATTGCGATGTTCATAACAACAACATATTACCAACAACACTAAAGACCTCTCTGTCTTGGTTCTTTTTCCGGGCCAGCCCAGTGATTCTGGGATGGTTGCTGGTAGACTTAAGACCAGAGTGTTATAGAATGACCTCAGAGTCTTAGGCATTCTATGAATTTAAGAAATATTCTATGAGACATGCAGCAGCCCAGAGTGGTCTTCCTGGGATGCTGTTTCATATGAATGCTATGTTCCGGCCATTCCACAAAGAGACGCAACTGAGTCAAAATTAGAAAAGTGTATTTTAGAGTTATTTTTCCAGTAGTGGGAACATATTTGATCTGTTCACAATGTCTTTTCCTAGGCTTCTGGCACCGCTGATAAATCTGTTGAGTAATAATCAGCATGGGTCCAGCACAAGCACAGGACAGAGCAGAGCTGTGTTCTGGGCACGACGACAGGGGACTGGACACAAAGAATCCCACACTAGACTCCGAAGTCCTGTTTTCATCACACTAGCTCTGTCAGTAATCCACTGGGCAATGCTGGGAGAGTGTCTAGACCACTCTGTCACGTGGGAAAACGGGAAAATGGCTTTCAGATTTTGGGGGGGAGGGGCGGTTTTGAGACAGGGTTTCTCTGTGTAGCTTTGTGCCTTTCCTGGAACTCACTTGGTAGCCCAGGCTGGCCTCGAACTCACACAGATCCGCCTGGCTCTGCCTCCCGAGTGCTGGGATTAAAGGCGTGTGCCACCACCACCAGGCCTCAGAATTTTTTTAAAAGATGTATTTTTGTTTTATGTGTATGTGTGCTTTGTATGCATGCATGTATGTGTATCACCTGCATGCAGTGCATGTGGAGGCCAAAGAAGGCGTTGGATCCTCTGGAACTGGAGTTCCAGACAGTTGTGAGCAGGGCACTGAGACAAAACCTGGTCCTCTGCAAGAGCAGTTAGGGCTTTTAAACCCTGCAGCATCTCTCCAGCCCCAAACTTTAAGCATGTGTGTGTGTGTGTGTGCGTGTGTGTGTGTAGGCGGGGATGCCCTAGCCATGTATCATATACTCTCTTTGGTGCATTTTTCTTACACCTCCTAAGCTGTTGCCTTACAGCACATGGACATGTGAAATCAAAACTGTCCAGATCTTTCTATGATTAAATGTACTCACTTCCATAAAGTCTTTAAAAAGACGTTTCCAGAACCCTTTTTACCATCCCACACCCTTAGTTCATGAGGGTCATGGAGGTCGCTGGGCCTCACAATATAGGTCCATACTTTCACCTCACAGAATGCCTCTGAAATCTGTACCTCGCAAACTGTATTGTCCCCAAAGTGGATGCTTTAAGTCAAAACACATGTGAAGCATGATGATGTATGTGTCCTGTGAATAAGATCACGCATTTGTAACAATTTCACTAGTGATGGTTAACAGTCACCTATGGAACCTTACAAAATAAAATTCCATTAATAAATCCTCAAATGTGTGTTGTTTCCGAGTGTTACAGTTCCCACCCGGAATCATACTCATCTACATCAACCCGTTTTCCTTCTGTGCAGACATACACGCCTCGGCCACCACCATCTCTTATCTGAATTAACGAATGGCCTCTTTGCTCACGCCAGCGTGTTTTCCAAAGGTGGATTCGACAACATCGCCTGCCCTTCGTGTGCCTCTGACACAGCCCACTGCTTCTCTCCGTTCTCACAAATACAGCTTACAGTGGAGTTCTGGAGTGACCCCCCCTCCTTTTACAGATGAGCTCAGGAGACTCTGAGAAGCCCAATGCCCCATGAACTGGTCCCAGAGAATGAGTTGACCTGAGGAGGAGCAAGGTCAGGGAACATGTGAGCATCATGACTGTGCATGAGTAAACTATCTAGAAAGGGAACCCTCCTCCCAAAGTCAGGTCAACTGACTGCCTGTGAATCGGTCATAAACTGCCTGAGTCCTTCCCACCATTCCTGACCCACAGGGGGTTGAGAAAACTAGTGTTGCAATTTTAAGGTAGGGAGTTTTGGGTGTGGTTTTATAACAATAGACAAACAAAACATCCATTCTTGTCCTTCAATGATCAGTTCTCTGCAAAAGAACCTGAGTGACTCTAAAACATAAATCAGAGCATGTCAACTTCGGCTTAAAGGATCCAGTGGTGTCCCATTGGTCTTGGAATAAGGCTCAGCTTCTCACTAGGCACAGGGGTCTAGATGTGCAGACTTGTCACAGCCATCTCGGCACTGACCTTTGTATTCTCTGGAAAAAAAAAAAAAAAGCCATGCCAGTAGCTGGAAAGACCGCTCGGTGGCTGAACGTGTGCACTGTTCTTGCAGAAGCCTGGAAGCCAGTTCTCAGTACCCACAATGAACAGCTCACAACGACCTGTAACTCCATTCCAGGAGAGCCAAGGGCAGGGAGAGCTAACTAAAATCCAGGTTCATTCTTAGCAAAGCCCAATTTAGACCACCCCTTTCACAAAGCAATGCTTAGAAAAACAGTTTTTGCTATGGTAATACTTATAAACCCGAGAAAGAGTAGAGATTGCTTCAAATCACTGTGCCTCTCATGCCCTCGCCCCTGCTTCCTCCTGCAATTCTAGTCTGTGTATTTTTTGCAGAGAAGTGCACACCTACTCCATTTATAAAACCATGTCACATTTTCCAACTGACACCGGATAAGTTAATCAAAGATATACAGCACATCCTGAACACAAGCTGAATTTAACTACCTATTTTTATAGTAACCAAAGAGACTGCTGGGTATGAAGGAGAGTTGCTCAGATAACCTAGGGGGCCTGCTTTAGGAGTTTTAAAGAAACAGCTCCAGGTCCTATCTTTACGGATACGCATTTTTCAGATGTGTTTAAGAAACTCCTGAGCGATGGAGGACTGGCTTGTGTAGTTACTTTAGTTACCGGCTAGTCAGGCAGTAGTAGAGGAGAAGGTGGACCTCAGAGGATTTATCATCTGAGCTTGCCCCAGACAGAGGCAACTGGAGCACAGGAAGGCACTTGAGTTCCACAGGGGGCTGGCCATGATACAGGTCCTTGGTTTCAATGTGGCTGACTCCAGGGAAGATTTCCGCCACTTCCTAAAGTTGATTCAGCATTCTTGGGGCTCATTTTAATCATGTCACCCTTCTCCAGCAAATAGAGGACAGTTCTATATATTCCAGAGACTTGCTAGTTAAAGGAAACACATTCAGCCACAACAGGACTTTAAATTTCAGGCTCCCGGGAAAGACTTTCTGAAAGGTCCCTCCTATATTCCAAATTTAGTTTGTTCTTGGACAGTAGCCCATGTCTTTAGTTGACCTCTTGCATTTAAGACGATACTTGGCCATTTAAAATGTTTTGCAATGTTTGGGGTTTCTTGTTGCTATTTTGCCTTTATAAAAGGAAGGCGTGCGGAGACAAATTCCCTATGATTAGAAAGACAGAATGTCAGAAAACCCTCAGTGCTCTCTCTCTCTCTCTCTCTCTCTCTCTCTCTCTCTCACACACACACACACACACACACACACACACACACACACACACACAGAGAGAGACACAGAGAGAAATAGAGAGACAGAGACAGAGAGACAGAGAGACATAGACAGACAAGACAAACAGACAGACGGACACAAATGCACAACTAGCCAGTATTACATAGGTAGTGAACATTCTGGAACTGGGCATCCATTGAACAACAGCAAATCAATAATTCCAAAGAATACGTGGTGTTTACGTTTCCTGCATCTCCCAAATAACTTAGTCTTTGTAATAGTTTCATAGGCCCTCATTCTATAAGTGATGTGACAAAGGTATATTTAAATACTTGGCTTGGTGGGTACTGCTAGATGCCCACTAAACAGCCATGCCTGGTGTCTTTGAGTTCCTGCTTCACCAGCAAAGCCTCAATTTTGATCGAATCTTCTGCCTTTCCAGGAAGGAAATCCCCTGCCTCCACCCTCACCCTTAAGGATTGCATCAGTACTGCCTTAGATCACCATGACTTAATCTCCTCAAGGATACTGAAGGAGAACCTTTGAAGGGAGGGGACACTCTGGAGGAGATCCTTGATAATAAAGAGCTGAGGAGAGGAAATGCCTTTCTTCTCTGCCCCAGGAGAACGGTGGGGTAGCAGTGCGGACCCCTGCACACTCAAATGGACTTGAGCTTCTAAGTCACCCAGTTCTAGCCCCGGGGACCCTCCTGTTGAGTGTGACAGTGAAGCCCTTATCGTTTGGTTAGGCATCTGTTGCTTGCAGGTCAAGCCATCCTAACAAACATATTTGGCTTTGCTTTTCTCTCCCATCCTTCCTTCCTCCCTCCCTCCCTCCCTCCCTCCCTCCCTCCCTCCCTTCCTTCCTTCCTTCCTTTCTTCTTTCCTCTTTCCTCTCTTTTTTCTTCACTCTTTCCTCTCTTTTTCTTTCTTTTTTTTTTGAATGCTTATGGAGAGTCATCCTCAAAAGGGAAGAAAGCACTTTTAGATGTGAATGAATGGACACACACACACAAAAATCCAAATATGTAGTGGAAACTTGATTCTTTCATTCATATATAAAGCACATGATGGGTTATGGGCCAACTAGACATGCTTGTCATGGTTTTCATTCATGGTTTTCATCCACAGAGAGCACATGACAGGCTATGGGCCAACTAGATATGGTTGGCAAGCAAGGAAATATTAAAACACGTTCGCTGGTTTGCAGGATGTCACATTTGGCGAAGACTGTCGTGTCTATAAATTATTCTAGTGTGTGGCGGCCTGCCAGAGTACCTGTTGGAAGGAGAGAGGATTTCAGAGACCCTCCACCAGTGACACACGAGAGCTAAGTGTTGAAGAATGAACAGGCATCTTTGGTCAGGGTTTACCTCCATAATTAGAAGATGTCAATGTTTAAAACCCAGGAACATTGTCAGAGTCTACAAATGTAAGAGTCTCAGGCAAGTCCTGAGTAGTAACAGCCATTTTGTATTTTGTTTTTAATGAATAACAAGAGGAAATACAGCCCTCAGAAGGACTGGGAACCTAGGGGAGATACGCCCTGGAAATGGGGTTAGGCCTGTGCCACCCATGGGAGTTGCCTTTAAAAATCCCCCGTCACCGCAGGAATGAGAACTGTCTGCCTGTGAAGAAGGACGGGTTAGCACTGATGCCACTCCCGTGTGCCAGGGTGTCATAGTTGCTGCATCTGCCCCCACGGCAGCCTCAGGATGGCAGGGAGCTTTGTCTCATGGTGACCGGAACTGACCTTCTGGTGATCACTGGAGGCAGACCCAGCGGCAAACGCTGAGAGGATGCGCACTACATATCTGATGCTCTTGTGTTTGGGCCACAGGTCAGAGTCCGGCAGGAAGCTGTCCCTTAATGGCTTCTGGTTCCTCTAGGAGTACTGTGTATGTCCGGCTTTCATGTTCAGAATTCCAAAGCCTGAAGTAATGTGGAATGCCAACAGAGGGGTTCCAGTAGCTCTTTAAACTTCAACTACTCCTCCAGCAGAAAAATAACTACCGCAGTCCACTGGATGTTGATGCCACTGGATGTTGGAGAGGGCACAGAGACACAATGCTACCTTTGTATGGTCAAGCAAGAGCAGCAAAAGGCCCATAGCCCTTGTGTGTTGCGTTAGTAACTGAAGGCTTGGGCTAGAAAGCTGGCTCAAAGGTTAAGAGCACTTATTGTTCTTGCAGAGGACCTGGGTTCGGGTTCTCAGTACTCACATGGGGATTTGCATGTTCGATAATTCCAGTTCCAAAGGATTGGACAACCTCTTCCAACCTCTGCAAGCACTAGGCATACAATGTGGTATGTGTGCATGCGTGCAGGCAAAATATTCACACAAATAATATAAATAAATATAAAAATATTTTTAAGTAAAAAAATAACTGAAGTCTAGTCATCATGGCACATGACTGGAGTGCCAGGACTTAGGAAGCTGATGCAGGAGAATCACCACAATTTGAGGGCATCCTACTCTACAGAATGAATTTCAAGCCAGCTAGGGCTACAGGGCAAGACCCTGTTTTAAAACACTGTAATAGCAATAATAATAACAGAAGTTAAAACCTTGGACCTTATTATTATATCAGCACATTTGGTCTAAACCTCTGCAGGTGTCTGTCTATGAACAAGCACTCCCAAGAATGTTTTTAACCCCTGACAGTGACCGTAGGCTTGGCCCAGAAACTGTACTTTCTCTTCATGCTCCCATAAATCAAAAGCCAGGTCCCCTGGCACACATTTAAATAAACAGGCTGTGGCAGTGGTTCAGCACCAGCAACTGGAGTCTCTAATGTTTGGAGTGAGGACTAATTTATCCCAAAAAAGAAAGAGAAGAAATCCCCCGTAACATTAGTAGATCATAAGACTTTTTTTTCTCCTGAATTTTGGCCAAGAAGCCAAGATTAGCAGTTACATTGTGCTCTTTGTGTTATGAACTCCTGGCCACAGTCACAGAAATGCTCTCATTTACATGTATCTAAATACCCGTATATCTCTGTATGTGTGTATACACACACATATATATGGAGGGAGGTTTGAAAGATCGAGAGCAAGAGAGTGCGGACTCTTCCATCTAGGAGTCAGAGAACCAACATCAATGGCATCCTGTCCTGACCTTGAAGGGACTGTCCCCTGGACCAGTCCCTGCTTCCTGTGGCTCACCTGGAAAGAAATCAGAGCTAGGTTCCCCATTGTTTGTCACTCTCAGGATAGAGGGTGAGGTGAGTCCATCTCAGCTCCCCGGGTAAAAAGAAGGGGCCTTATTTTAAGTTTAGGACATACATCCTTTGCAAAGTCAACCCCACACAGAGCATTCACACGGGATCAATTGCATCTTCCAGCAGCCTCTCCTCCCTGGATTCCTGTATCGCGAAGCCGCTGCTGTAAGCCCTAGTCATCCATGTGAGACCTTGACCAATGCAAGCTATGCCGACACTTCATGGACCACCAAGAACAGCCCAGCCAATTAAACTATGACGTGCTTCGGAGAGAGCTCTGTCCATAGAGTGCTTGTCTAGCATGGATGAAGCCCCAGGTTCAAGCCCTGTCCCCTCAAAAGTGGGGTGTGGCAGTGCATGCCTGCAATCCTAGCACAGAAGAGGCAGAAGGAGTTCAGAGTGATCCTCAATTACAGTTCAGGCACAGTTGGGATCTATGAGTCCCTGTCTCAACAACAACAGAGAAGACTCACAGACTATGACAAGCTACCCAGAATAAGACAGGATCTGTTTTTAGAGCTGGTAGACTTAGAAAAAGTTCTAGTATGGAGGCTTGAATCTCCTTGGATACAAGTCCCCAGCAGGCACTTTGCTGTCTTCCATACTCTGGTGTGCCGAGCACAGCATCGTGTGATCCTAGTGAGTGAGTGGCGAGTTGGTGTAATTCCTGTCTTCTCCCCATAGAATGGGCACCAAACAGCCAACAAGCTGTTCATGTTCGAGCGGGCCTTGCTCTTCCCATGGTACCAAGCACATCAGAAACCTGCAGGCTCCTGGTGTCTGGACTGGACAGGAACATTGAGGGAGGGCTTCGCAACCACGGCTCGACATTCTGTAGAGCCGCTCTAAGCCTACTTACTGTAAGGCCTGGGCAACTGTAGCCAGAGCCGCTGCCATTCTGGGCTCCCTGGGGCCCTATTTATGTTTCTCCTGAAAACTGGTGTGCAATATCAAATTCCTGAAAATAAAACCACAGTTTCAGTGGATTGCAGGAGCTAGCTATTTACAGGACACTGTTGGCCAGCTCTTCTGTCCGGTCAATGACCATTACCAGGCCTATCTTGCACATAACTCTGGGCTTGTGTGTATCTTGTTCCCGTAGCACCAGGCACACCCTGATATTGAGTTTCCCCACAGTAGAGCTTTGTGCTGGGTCAGTGGCTTGAAAAGTTTTGGTCACGACCTCCCTTGAGAGCCCTGGTTCGCTCAGGCCCCAGCTAACCAAACTCCTTTCTCAGGTGCCCTGGCTTCTCCACTGTGAAAAGGAGCAAATGGAAACTAGACTTTGCATTGTTTCACCTCCTTTAGAGGTGAACAGTTTCTCTGACCAGTTTCACTCCAGCTTTCGGGAAATGGGCCGCAGTGATAGTGTGGGCACAAATGCTGCCCAGTTAGGAGTGTAAGCGAGTGTGCCCCAGTGCGCAGAGGGAGAGGGCTCCATAGCAGACCATGTAGCCTGAGCATGGAGGCACTTGGGGTTCAGAATCACTGGCATGGTGGTGCAGGCCTTTAACCCCAGCACTTAGGAGGCAGAGGCTAGCAGATCTCTGGAGTTCGAGGCCAGTCTGGTCTACAGAGCGAGATCCAGGACAGCCAGGATTACACAGAGAAACTATGTCTCAAAAAACAAAACAAAACAAAAAAACCAACAACAACAACAAAAAAAAAACAACAGAGAGAGAGAGAGAGAGAGAG